ATTTAATCAAAATTAAAATGAATAAATATATAATATCATATTTAAAAGTAATAATGATAAAATCTTTTCTCTATATTAAATAAATGTATATTTCTGTTTATTTTATGTTTACTTATAGTTGTATTTGTTTACTTATAGTTGTATTTGTTTACTTATAGTTGTATTATGTTTAATTATAATTGAAAAAATAAAATTAACAAGATACAGCTGTTGTGGTATTTTATCAAATGATCAATGTCATAAAATGGTGTACACTAAATTAACAGGTTTGAAAGATATATCAAGCTATTCAGAGAGAGACAAATTTATTATTATGGAGATCTCCGCTATCAATATTAAATGTTAATGTTAAAATCTGCAACTTTTATTTAACTGTTTTGCAAACTCCCAAAAAAATTGCACTGACCCATTTAAAAACCATAACACTAATTTAAAAAGTGAATTTTTTTGTTTATGACTTATTGTGCTGTGTGTTTTTGCAAAAAATATATTTAGTACACTTTGAACTAATTTAATTATTATTGATTTTTTATTTTTAAAATTATTAAATTATCTCAATTGTTATTTCCTAATTTTAGAAAATTTTTTCATTTATAATACAACCCTTGGAATTAGGAAAAAAGGGGTTACCATAAAGCATAGAAATGAGGTTGGCAATTTTTTGATGACCTTAAACACTTTAAGGTCGGCAGTTAGGTTGGCATTGCTGAATGCTAACCCTGATTCCAACGGTTGATAATATATTTATAGGTGGTTTGTGAGAGATCAACATTCAACTGACAAAAGATATGTGTTCAATTGATATTGAAACAACACCTGGTTTCAATATCAATTGAATACAATGGAGACATAACAAATGTATCATTGTTGAAAAGAAGAAAAATAGATGATATGACTGGCTGACAGGACCACAAAGGTTATTATGATTTTCTGTAACAAACATTTTTTGTTGAAGATATAGAAGTTGCATTAGAAAAATAACTTATAAATACTAGTTTTGATAAATTAGATGTATCACCAGTAAAATTTCATGGGGTTCCACAACAAGCTAAGCTTTCTCTAGAGAAACAAAAATTAATTCAAGCTACTGATGATATTAAAAAAACTATCGCTAATGTTAACGCAACAGACCTAAAAAATGATATTACTGAGACAACTGTACTTTTTTTATTTTTACATACAATTTATACATGATTTTTTTACACTAATTTAAATTTCTGCTTTTTTTTTTTTTACATTAATGATATTATTCAATGTTTAAGTTGATTCTTTCAATGCAAGAAAAGCTGAAAACAGCAAACTGAAAAGAAAAGATTCAGAAAAGATTGGGGTCTTATCAAATATAGTATTCCTAATTGCTCATAGAAATAAAATTTCAAATTTAAAAAATTTAATAAAGTTTGCTCAATCATAAATTAGGGTTCAGGGATTATCTTATTCTGGATATTTGCGGAATTCCAGATATTTCTATAACATTTTATTTTTTCTAGATATCCAATAGTTATTTGGAAATGCAAGTTTAAAATGTATATTTTTTTGTCATCAAATAATTAAAACAGTAAAAGTTAAATTTTTTAATATAAAATTTATGAACTTTATTTTAAATAAGTATTGAAATACTTTCCTTTTATATAGAGAAAAACAAAAACCTTTCTTTTTAAACACATGATATATTTTTATTTACACAAAATGCAATTACATTTGTAAGAATTCACCCATTTGTCGGGAAACTAGGTTTGAATCCACAGACTATTTTTTATGTGTGTTCATTTAGTACCACTTTATCACCTTTCTTTTTGTTCTGTATCGCTCTCCTTCATCTCAAGATTGCACTCTTTTTAATGTTATTTCTGAATAATTTTTAAATTTATGCCATTATATTGAAGATATTGGTATGCGATGTGAACGGAATTCCTTTGCAATATCATATGGAAATTCACCATGTGATGTCATGAGTAAGATCGTTAAAAGACATGTTTCACTTCTTTTTTTTTAAAAACAAAGGGGTTATTCCATATGAAATCACCTAGTTTTTCAAAAGTGCCTCAGGGTACCACCTTCAATTTACTTGAAATTTTGACCACCCACAGCTTTTATGAAAAAAACAATACTGAAAATTTGAGCTTGATTGACCAAACTGTTCAATAGTTATAATTGAATCAATAAAGACCAAAATCGGCAAAATTTGAGTATTTGGAGTTTACAGTAGATTTTTTTGATTTTTAACAGACCATAACTTTTCAAATAAAATAGATGAAATTTGAAATTTTATTTAGTAATAGTTTTTTTCCCAAATTATCTATTTTCCAGGTGTTTTTGACTGATTTCAAACAGTTTTTGAGTTCTTGTTCCTCAAAGTTGCTTAAAATAATGCAATATCAGACAAAATTTTGGAAACTTTAATGTGCTACAGTTCGATACCAACAGACAAACTGTGCCAATTTTTCGTTACTTTTGTGTACTTAGATTAACCATTTGCGGAAAAAATTAAAATTTTGAGTTAAAAGTTATTTTAGCACTTGCAGCAGCCTGTTAAATTATCCCTTTAAAAAAAAAAAAAAAAAATTACATTGACTTTGTAGGCATAGAAAGTAGCTTAGACAGTTAAAATAAATTATGAATCATTTTTTTAGCAAGGTTCTATATATATATAGGGTTGCCATATCTCCGGATTTGCCCGGAGATCTCCAGATTTTAAGGCAAAAAATAAGACTCCGGGGGATTTCAGAAAAAAACATGAAATCTCCTCTTTTTATTTAATTTTTATAAAAATTCAATATTTAATATTTAAATTTTAATACTTAAATGTATAGAACTGAAAGTGTAAATACTATTGAATGTAAAATGTTTTTAGTCACAACAATTTATTGAAAATGCTCACACAGCACTTGTTCTCTTCTCTTGATTACACAATATTTAAAAAAAACACATCTAAACGAAAATGAAAGTTGTGACCGATAAATTACGTTAAGGTAATAAAGTATTTTGGTTACTGCTACACAAGAGAGAGTTCCTTTAATTTAAAGTTTTAAAGTAAAAGAATTGCTGTACTCAATAATTTTGTCTAAAAAAAAAATGTTTTCTAGTTTAAGAAAGAGAGAAATGAGTGTAAAGCCAAACTCAAAATTTGCCCAGCTGGATCATTTATTTATGTTTCTCCCAAAGATAAGAAAATTATCTTATGTTAATTTTATTTATCTAATTCATCTTACAATGATAATTAAGGCAAGATTATGTAAATTATGTAACCTTTGACCTGTTATTAGTCTCAATAACAAGAGTTAAAAGCTTTAAGTTGGATGAAGCTTGACAGTATCCCTATTTGGGATCAAGTTGAAGACTTAATTGTAAACAAAAAAGCCCCTTTTTAATGTTAATAAATCATTGAGCCATGACTAATTTTCAAACTTATAAGTTCAATAAGTTTTTGTTATCAAACAAAGACTTATTGAAAAAGATAAGTTTAACAAAAAAGTATAGTTGGCATGATTTATCTTCCCCCGTCCATAGTTCTTGCTCTGTTCCAACAAATGATTGGTCGATAACTGTGAAATTGATAACTGATTCAAGTGATTAGTTAGATACAAGTGAACAATGGTTACAAGATGACAATAGGGACATGTTAAATAATGGAGGAATAATTATTGGTTTGCATTTATATAGTATTGTATATTTTAATATAGAATAACTAATAAGACTTAATTCATTGAGAATCAATAATTGTAAGACAGCAATAAAATTTAATGTGAAGATTTTGCAATTAAAATTATTTAACACAAATTGCTGGTTTTGCAATTAAAATTAGTTTATTTTAATTGCAATACCAGCAATTTGTGTTAAAAAACAAAAGACATTTAAAAAAAGGGGTTATTATTTATTTAATTCTCATAAAAGGGGTCCACTCTGGTAATGTCTTGCTAAATAATAAGAATTCTCATTCATTTAACACTTATTTTAAAATCAGGGGCGGGTTATGTCACTAAAAAGTTTTGTGACATAACCCGATAAACTATTACTACATATAAATATTTCTCCATACACAAAACCTTTTAGTTTTGTGTATGGAGAAATATTTATATGTAGTAATAGTTTATTGGTTGCATTTTAGACAGTTTTAATCACATTTGTACTTGAGATTTCATTTTTACTGATTTTATTACTGGAAAAATATAAAAAGGTTTTTTTTTTAGATAATAATGTTACATGTTTAACCCTCAATTTTAATATTTTTAGATTAGTAGAAAATGTCAGAGAAATGTTGTTTGGGAAGAGTTTTAAATGAACATTGTGTTAAAATGTCATGTTTTAAAATAGTAGGAAGAATAAGACTAAAAGATACTGATATTGAAGTTTTAATTCAAAGG